GTCCTGTGTGCAGCATGTGACAGGCAGGTGCTACTCTGCCAGGCTCAAGCCTAATTGATCTCTCTTGTTTGCTGTTGTCTGATGTGTTATGGCAATTCTGTCACGCAGTGTCACCTTTTACACAAAATATGGGCAGGGATAGAAGAAGTGCAGGTTCAGTTTTCTTGCTGACTTAATTTACTTTGTCAGGCAAAAGGCTTCTCATAGTATGACAAAGTCTACTCACATAATTATCCCTTTCTAGAACTTGATGCGTCATTCCAGGTTTGATGTAGTTGGCATACAGATGATCTGATGAGCCTGTAGCAGTGTGGAGACAGGGCTAGTTCCTGGTATGCAAAAAACCTGCAAGCTATTCTGTTTCTTTGACCTGCCTAGAGTAGGCATCTAATTTACTAATCTTCTTAAACTACTTTAAGTCTATAGATGCTTGTAGTTGCACCTTTCTCCCTCAACTTGAAGCTTTTTGGTTTTGTCTTCTAAGTTGCAATAGCCGGTCTCAAATGTTCTTTGCATTGTGTTAGGGTAGAAATAGTTACTGTTCAAGCACTTAACTGTGCTAAATCCTCAGGGAAGGGAACGACCATCCTTGGAAAGCATTAAGAAACTTCATGGTATAGCAAAGGTATCAGTTGCTACGTTAATTTGCATTCAGAAGCCTTCAGTGGGGCGGAGTACTCCTCCACGGTATGCCCAGCATCACAAGGTAGTATGCTACAGTTATAACGTCAGGTTAATGACAGAAATGTTTTGATTTGCATTGACGCTTCTTTCTGTAGAACCGAGAAATTTGGCAAATAGCAATGCAGTGGTGCTGGGCCATGGCCTTCAAGCAAAAGGCACTGTTCAAAGAGTATCTTTTAATCTTTGTGCTATGACGGGGTAGCAGTACATGAACTAAGTCATTAAAGCCCCTGTAATGTCAGGGTAGTTCTACAGATGCCACACATTCACAGAAATTAAACCAATAGCCATTTTACTGTTCCTCTTTGAGGAGAGGAAATGATGCTAGACTCTTTTATGGTTGTATTTGTCAAAGGTAAAATGGATAGGGAGGGACTTAAGAGGGTTTGGGGTATCTAATAATTCTGACTTTAACTTTCTTCTACCTAGAAGAAGCCAGAAGATCAGCACTGCAAAAGCATGCATGTTTCTGGCCTGTCATGGGTAAAGCCTGGCTCAGTTCAGCCTTTCAGCAAAGAAGAGAAGACGATGCCTACTTAGCTCTTCTGGACCGTGGTGCACAAAACACTTTCTGTGGGTGGAGGGAATGTAATGGAGGGAGAAACAGCAAAGCAGCAGTTTCCTTCTTAATTACGGATTAGTAAAAACTGAATGGTAGCAGTGACTCCAGTAAACCTGTTCAATGGATTACTGACTCTTAATGTTTTACATATGCATTAGGTTTTAAAGGCTTGCCTGGAGTTTGGAAGTCTCTCTTGAACACTGCAGTACTTCTACCTGAAGACTGTCTAGGGTGGGTAGTTCCTCAGGGCTCTGAAATGCCTGGAGGTTTTGGGTTGGTTTTTAAGCTTTTATTTTTTCCCTCCAGGAATAGCAATTTTTTAAAAAATCTTAAATTACTGGCAGAAATATTAGCATTGGAAATATGATGCCAGAGGTAAGCTGTGTTCATGTAAACTAATATAGCAGAGTTAAACACTATATTTAATGGTTTTAAATACTTTGGTTTCTATTGTAAATATATTAGGATTTGAAATTGTAAATAGATGGTTCATTGACTCCATTTAGCACTTTCCAGAGGTAAAGCTGGGGATGATGTATGATGTATTATTGATTTGTAAATGGATATTGTCACTAAAGCGCACATTAGTCTGACAGGGTGAAAGCAGAATGTCAGGCTTGTTAAACTTTTATTACATAAACACTAAAATCAAAGCTTTTAATGGTGGTCTCTTGAGCTAATAAAATTGTAGAGGAGTTTAGATTCCCTAAGTGTCTAGGGGATTACTTAGGGTAGGTTGACTAATGCGTGTTAATAGTGACATCTTAAAATAAAAAGAAACCGTGATCTAGCTTTGTCCCTCTGTTTGTCTGTATTGTAGACATTTAGCAAAGACCGGAACCGGAATGGAAGCACCTGGCTACATATGTACTTGCCTGCATATGTATTCAGGATGTTAACGGGATAACAGGATGTACTGCAGAGACTGGTTAAATACAGTTTTGTTCCACGTACAGGAAAACATTTCTAAAGCACGTGTGAGCTCAGGAGAGGATCTTTTACTTTTCACAGGAGTCTTCCTAGTGTCATAGCCCAGCATAATGCCTTATTCTTGCCTAACACTATTTTCCTATCAAAACCTGTAATGTTAACCCTGTACAGCTGGGCTGCTTTTTCTTTAGGTCCTCAAACCTGTACTGATGGCATTAATGCAAACCCTACTGTGTAGTAACAAGTAGTAGTGACTTCATATATAAACGTGTTGTGGTGTTTGGGGAGGGTGGGGAGTGGTGTGGTGTGTGTGTTTTGTTCTTTGTGGGGTTTTTTTTGTCTTTTGTTTTTATCTGACAGGCTAAATCCACTTGTCATATAACAACCTTTCACGGTTCCCTTTGAGAACAACTTCTTAGCTCTTAAGGAAATAGACAAAGACTTCACAAGTAATATGCTATCATATACCAAATGATTAATTTAATGTACTGTTAAGGATGACTTGAGTGGTTTCTATGCAGCGCTTAACATTGTGTAAGTTAAGTACTTACTCTTTTTTAGATAATGTTGAAATCTTAATGCATGATGTTGCTTTAAACCTTTTAAAGCTTCTGCCTTTGAAATGCAGCGGTTTCGTGGGGCTGCCTGGAGTCTCTCTAGCACTGCTGGAATTCCTCATGAGGCAGAAGAATGCAGAGGGTATGCGGAGAGCAAGGATCCTCTTTAAGGCAGAGAAGGAAGTGCATCCAAAGGTGCATTTCTCGGGGCTACTCTTTCCTCTTTAGCTCCCCTCATCTTATAAGGATCTGTTACAGGACCTAGGTTCTTGACTAAATGCTAAAATGTTCTTTCTAAAGCTTAATATATCCGTTTATACTCAGTGTAACGAGAAATATAATTTAGAGTGGCTCCTTCCTAAACAAATTGGAGGTTAAAGTAAAGTAAGAGGAATTCTAAGCATAAGTTACCAACCGGGTGCTTCCGAACAAGGTATTTGCAACTGAACTATTGCCTTCAGCTTTCTGAAAGCTCTTGCTAACTCTGTATATGTGAAGTATGGGTCTATGTAAACTGAAGGCTCTTGCAGGCTCTGGTCATGTGAATTAGTACAGCATATTTAAACACACCTAATGGCTTTAAATGCACTGGTTTTTTTATTGTAAACTGTATTGAAAGTGGTGGTTGAGTGCAGATCTTCCAAAAGGACATTTTTGCCAAGGTGAGTCAATCACTGGGTGAGATGTCTGTGACTTGGTATGATTTTGTAGGGCAATTAACTCAGAGTAAACTCAGTTTCTACTGTCTTCAACGCAAATCTCTCTCCTGTAGCTCAGAGCTCAATCCAACTTTGTTATGAGGCTGAGAAGAAGATGTGTTAAGGCAGTGGTATTTAAAAATGGATAGGGAAATCTAGAGCAAATCTGCAGTCTTTAGCGGCTCTCTGGATGTTGCTGCTGATATGCTTTCAGACAATTGCAAAGTCAATACTAGAATAATTCTGTGTATTTCCACTTACATCACTATTGCCATGTCATCCCCAGAGAAGCTTATCACAAACAATCTAGTACTTCGCTATATCGGTAACTAGGGTAAAGCCAACAGACTTGGTGTAGGATGTTTTGCTGCTTGAGTCTTGAAACAGTGGCTGCTGTTAGAAGAAGCACTGTATCTGTTTCTACAGTGACGCTAGAAACCAGCACCAGCAAGAGAACGTCAAACTAAATGTTGCTTTCTTGCTAATAGCGGTGGCTTGTTGGAGCAAAACATTCAACTCCAAACCTCAAAATAAACCTATGCAAATAATGGATTTGAGATTTTTGTAGTGGTTTCGCTCTTCTCCCATTCCTACCCCTTCGGAAGGAAGGAGTGGGAGAAGGCTTAGGGCTTGCAAAAACTTTGCTCTTACTCTTAAGTATTTTTCTGAAAAAAAATGTTACATAAACTGTTAAGTCCTGTCTTCAGATCAAAAACTTTGAGGAGAGCGCAAAACTCTGAATTGGCACTTTGGTTTGTGTACTCTTTCCTATAGTAGGAACATTCTACCTCTTTATTTAAAGATGCTTTTTCTAACGTTGTTTTTGCATGCTTTATCTTGCATGTTAAAGTTAGTTATTTTGTGGGAACAGGACTTGGGTGGCAGATAGCTGTAACCCTTTTATCATTTTTTTCCGTGTGTCAGTGTAGAAAAGAAGCAAAAACCTGTGGATCTTGGGAGAAGGCAAGCGATTCTCTCTGCTGTTCCTGTTGTCAGCTCTGTGATGGCATGTGCAGAAAGCCTTCCTGTCCTTCCCTCTCTTTCTTATCACCATGGGAAAGCAAAAGGAAGCAGAAACCTTCTGGAGCAGTTGCTTAGTGCTACAGCTCTTTCTTGAAAAGCTAGTGAGTAACAGCGCTAGAGAGTGCGAGAGTGTGTGTGTGTATGTGCGCATACGTAGTTTTCCTCCTGTGTGAGCAAAGGAATGAGTAACTGGGCACACAGCACTTCTCTGCTCCAGTCCTCCTGATTCAGTGATCTTTAGGAAACTACTGCCAGTGTAAAATAGTGATTTGAAACTTAATTCTTTAGTCTTTCAAAGCAAAGAATGTCATTCTTACCCTGTATTGCCAACCACGGAAGCTGTCTGGCCCACCTCCATGGGCGAGAGGGAAATCCTGCAGCTGTGAGTGCCCGCTCTCAGGTGCAGCGTGTTGCCTGAGGTGCACGTTAAGGGTGTGCTGGCAGCACCTGTGGCATCTCCTGGGCCAGCGTGGCTGTGTGCAGCTCCATGGGCCCCACGCAGCTCTGCAGAGGGCTCCTGGCTTCATCTCCCAGCACGGATGTGGTCGCTTCTCCCTGGGATCTTTGCTGAAGAGATCGAAGACCATGTGGAAAAGAGTGAGTGATCTCGCTGCTGATCTTCTCCTTTGAGAGGGAGGGAAGGAGAGCGGGAGGCGGTGGTAGTGGGGGAAACCGGTGTTTTGCTCAGCGTCGCTCCTCTTGTACCAGAAAAAAAGCTCGTAGGTAGGGCAGGACAGGGCTGTAACAGTGGCCGTAGTGTGGGACTTCAGTTGTTTTCTGCCTCAAGCACTTCTGAAATACTTGGTAGAAGCAAAGGCTGCTGAACTGCCATATTGTAGAAGCAAAGACCTTGAGTGCTTGTGCATGTAGACTGGGGTTGAAGAAGGGAACTGTCTGAAGACCTTTTGTTCTCAAGAGTGTGCTTGGGTTGTTGGGCATGTTTTGGTTTTTTTCCAAGCTTGCAGTTTTGCAGACCTGAAGGCAGTGCACACGGGGAACGGCCTTTCTCTGCGCAGCTTGGGCAGGAGTTCAGCTGTTCTCTCACTTGGTTTAGGTCCCTCCAGTGCTTTTAGATATCCTTCTTAAAATCTCCTATTTAATGCTGTGCCTTGCAATTTGTATTGTTAGGACGGGTATGTGCAGGAAGTAGCTCACATCCAGCTTGCTCCTTCCCCAGCACTTCTATGCCCATGGAAAGGGGAGGATGTGTGGCACAGCGTGTAGAGGAGCGGCCACAGCTGATGTCTCATGCTTAAGTCAAACTATTTCTGGGAGTGTGGGGTGGCTGACAACTGCTGACAACTAGCTTAGTATTTGGAAAATGTTTCTTTTATTGGTCTCTTACCTTTTTCTTGCTTCTTGTGCAGCTGATTTGCTACTTAAAAAAAAAAAATCCTTCATAGTGTTTCTGGCTTTTGTTATTTGCATTCTAGGGAACAGATTTCTGATAATCCTAAATATGCGTTTGTTCAATTTCACTCCATCCTCCATGTCACGTGCCACTGGTCGTTAACCTTTCTAACAAATACATGGTTTTTAGTCAAGCGTGACCCTGCTATTGAGCAGCGTGCTTTCAGTAGTTCTTTTCTGCTAGGGAGGTCTCTGGAATGGGGTTCAGCATAGTTAAAGTGGGCTTTAAAGTTTAACTTTAACATGGTGTTGGACTTGTAAAAACTTGTGAGAGAGGCAGACAGCGTCCTCGTAAGCCGGTACAAAGGAAAAAGGGGTGGCTTTGTGTCACTTCCCTTGGTCAGCTTTCTCTTCTGTGTGGCATTAATGCCCCCGTTAGCCTGTGTATTTTGGACATCTGGCAGATGATGAGGAATCGCAAGTGCCTTGGCATTGTCACATGCCTGTTCAGAGTTTGCAGTAGAAAACAGAAAGGGAGGAACTGATCTGAAAGCTGAGCTTGTATTGCCTGGAAAGTGGCGATGTGTTTTTTTCAGGCAAGGCATGTGGGAAAAGTTTTTGAGGGCTGGTGTACTGGCCTGGAGCGTAGCTGCTAAAATGCTGTGAACGTTAATACTGTTGCTGCTGTTATTTCTCTTACACTTTTCTTGGGAAGGCTGAAATTGAAATTTAAACGCTTCAGATTTAGCATTAGAAAAGTTTAGTTAAAGGACTCCTGTATGAAGCAGAAAATGGGCTGAGCATTTTGACTGAGCGCAGCGTACCAGCTGGGCAGGGAGACAGAACTAGGGTGCTAAATTGGAACATGATAGTTACTTATTTTTATGATTATTCAGAAGCCTTTGTAATAAATCACTGACTTGCAAATTTCCTAAGCTGCTTAGGTGAAGGGCTTGCGTAGCAGTTTAATCCCTTCTAATCTTGGGATGCTCTTTCATCTCAGCTGCAGCAGGGCAGACGCAGGACCTAATTCCTCCTGCTGTACAAAGCAGAAAAGCGACTGTGTCCCCACACTTGCTGGTGGTGTTGGGGAGTTAAATATGGAGCAAATCCTGGTAATGGTTACCTAATGTCAGCTCGGAGACGTGGCTGCTGTTGTTTATTTGTCCGATTGTTGCTGGGGTTTAGGAAAACACCACAGTTAAAGATCAGTAAAAACAATGACAAGGAAGAATGGT